TCACACCGATTTTCTACGAGTCTTAAAGAGTTTAATTATAGCACATTGATTAAAATTAAAGTATGGTTTTCTCGCGCATCACTTAGCCCACATACCCGAGGATGTAATTAGTTTTGACGGGAGGACTATATTATAACAAGTAATGCTTGCAATTTAATATTTTATTATAAGAGTAGCTGATATGTTATCTCAAAAAATGGTTCTAATACGGTAACAATAATTAAATGCTTACAAACATAATTTAACACATAAGCACAAATGCAAATATTCGAGAACGTAAATGCTATTTCATAAGTTGGAGTCAATCCAAAATCAATTTCGAATATCCAGAAAGGGAAAAGCAGGGGTCTCTTTCTTTCTCCAGAATTGTTAGTGAAGGAATAAAATGCGAGCGAGAAAACAGCAAAGAGTAGCATTCCTGAGCCAAGAGCACCGGTGAAAATTATCGACAACTTAAAGATTTTTTTAGTTAATATTTGGTTGCGGAGAAACTTTGTTCTGTAAAGTAGAAGATGTAGATATATTATTATATATAAAATGATAAAATATAAAGTGTAATACATCCAAACCTTACCTATATTTAGCACCTTTACCGTATATGTACTTAAAATCTTCTTCCATAATGCTGTGTAAAGCATAATAATTTTTCACATTCAGTTTTGTACAAGAAAGTATAAGAAGTTTATATGACATAATAAGAAAATATACTCCCGCTTCTGTGATGAAGGGGAGGTCAAATATCTCTATTCCGTGGTAGATGTCGAGAGATAGAATGCCTGTTGCTATCAAAGCACAGAATGTCATTATGATTTTAACAAAATACCTGCAATAGTTACCTATATATTGTGAAGATAATACATGGTATCGTTGGGAGTTAATTGACAAAGTGTTGCTTTTAGGGTCTAATGGGATGAATTATAATTATTAACTTTAATGTGTAGACATTAAGGACTGACATGACAAAAAATTAAGGTAGGAAAACATATTTTTATATGTTGCAAAGTATGCATATAATGTATGGTTTTATTTGTTTATAAAATATATGAAATAGGACTTTAATTATTAACAGAAATATATTGTCAAAACTTACGTCCATTTTGGTATAGGTTCATCCAAAACTTGGAATATTTTAAGAATTATGAAGAAAGCTTTATGAAACTCACGAGCGGTTTCATTTTTTTGATTCCGATTTTCGTTTGTTTTATATAATTTTAACATCTTGCATGGTATTACTAAATGAGATATGAATAAATCGCTTCGTGACAGTCATTGCATTATTAAAGTACTTTTTTTCCTTATATATTTCTGTTTCCTTAACTTATCTACATATAAAAAGTAGTAAGCATATAGAACACGAACGATGCATCGATGATGTTTAGGTTCCGTACAAATATTTAGTACTCAATACATAGTAAATTTTCAACTAAATACTATAAATTTCTACTTTAAATGAAATTTAACTTCTTATTTTCTTTATGCGAAACTAAATAATTACTTAAGACATTTGAAACTGTCTCATTTTGATTAATATATGTAACTTTTGTTTAAAAACCGTACACAGAACTATACTATAGAGTTGTAGTCACAATTACTTAAAGTGACAATTTGCTAAAATGCCTTGCCTTTTATTACCCCTTAATGTTTCTGGGCCATAATTTTTAGTTCCAAACAGCAGTCGCCACATCGCCTTGGGCTCTGTTATATAAACATCAAAGAAAAACTAATGTACCTTATGTAGCAAATTATAAGGTTATATATTGTTATATTCTTACATTGGAAATTATCGGCTAATGTAAAAGTAATAGTGAGTGCTTTTTGTACACCAAAATAAAATATATTAGAAGTATATCTGTTTTTGGTAATTGGTACTTTTACCTATATATCTTTAAAAAAATTCTAGATCAATACTAAAATATATATTTTTAATTTGGACGGGTATAACAGTAGGAAATATATAAAAAATTTCCCGATCATAATATTAAGGATTATAATTATTTAAATAGTACTGAAAACTACATTCGACAAATCGATCAATGTATTTTTTAGAACTCTTTGAAGTCTACAACAACGGTAAACGATATTTTATATTTTCACGAGGACACATGAATGAAATTAAATTATTGGATACTTAGAATCTGTCACGGTACTAAATAATAACTGTTGCTGATAAATAAAATTATTTTCTTTTTTGCAGCTAACAAACATTATAATAAAATCAGAAACACTTTAATCATTGAAAAATTTAGATCTAAATACAAATTCTAAGCTCGTTTCTAAAGCTTCACGATTAGAAGCTGCAGCTTTTCACTCTGCGACACATTAAAATATCTAAGTATATGAGTTTAAATGTGGTATATAATTACTTAACATCTTTCTAGGAACACTTTTGCATTTACTCAAACTAATTTGATTGCAACAAACATAAAAGATGTATTAAATATTTTTCTGATATATTCATTACGTTTTTAATAAGTTTTTTTTTTTTATGTTAAAGGGGGCAACCGAGCAGTCGCCTATGGACATCCGCGACATGAGACATGTTGCGGATGTGTCACCACCCTTGATTTGGGAAGAGGGAGAGGAAAAATGGGAAGGGGAGGAAAAATGGGAAGGGGTAGGAAAGGATCGGAAAAGGGAAAAGGCAACCGGCTCTCTCATTCACCGGACGAAAGGCTACTTCACGCCGATCTTCTGTGAGAAGGTGGTACTTCCCCGGTCGAGCCAGCCCATGTTCGAGCTGTAATCACTTGACCACAGCTAGGCTAGAGCCTAGCTGTGGTCAAGTGATTACTGGTAGACCACATTGAAAGTTTTAACACCAATATTTTCTTTGTTAGATTGTATCCAAATATAGTACGGAGTTAGATAGTTTTAGCAAGGGATAAAATAGAAGATCAAGTCATCCGACAGTGAATAAAATAAAGGAGAAAAGAAAAAAAGATTTACAAATGAAATCATTTGTAAATACTTTAACTTTATCGTCCTTTTTATATTGTCTAGACTGCTCGATTGAAAAATATTTTAAATCATTTATATCAAAACTTTGCCAATTATCTCATCGACTCCGTTTACACTTCAGATTACGAGTTTAATTGAGATAATAAAGAGAATATTTTTACTTAACTCTCAAGATTGCAGCATTTTTTCTCTGTGGAATTATTTTTCACCTCAAATACTATAAACTTTTCTTCTAACCAACCATTATTATCCAACATTAAGGTTCATTTATTTTTTCGTCTTATTTTTTATAAACAATATCTTATTTTTTCGAACAATGCCTTTTATAACTCCTAAGAATACAACAAATCTATATATATAAAAGAAAGTCGTGTTAGTGACTCCACTTATAACCCAAGAACGGCTGAACTGATTTAGCTGAAAATTGGCACGGAGGTAGTTTAGAGCCAGGAAATTGCAATAGGATACTTTTTATCCCGTTCGACAGCATTCCCGTGGGACTTGACATGAAACGTCAGTCATTATAAAACGTGGAATAACACAATTGACAGCTAAGCAATTAACGTATAATGACAGATATGTAATGACGTATGGATGACAATTAGATATTTGTAACAAATCTACTATATAAAAATAAAAATATTTAGATATTGTGTTTGTAGTTTGAACTCTTAAAACCATTTAGTATTTGCGGGATAAATTTAGAAAATCATTGTTTTTCACATGAGGAGTTATATTTTGCGTGTTCACGAGTTTGGAAACCATACGCTTTATTTGTGTTAAAGTTAGACCAAAAAACAAAAAATGTGGTTTACAAAGGAGCACTTCAATGAAACGGATAATTTGCGGACACGTATTACGCTTCTATTCGGTATCTACTTTGGATTCACTTTCATTTACTTAGAGAAGTTCAACTAAATAACACTTCATTTTTGTATTCGAAATGAATACATTACTGTTGTGAAATGAAATAAAAAATTTCTTTTTCAAATATAAAACAAAAAATTCTTCATCTTTTAATCACCAAACGAAATGTTATATAAAAGCCTTCTGGTGGCGAAACGGAGTTCGCCAGGTTTACTAGTATATATATATATATATATATATATATATATATATATATATATATATATATATATATATATATATATATATATATATATATATATATATATATATATACGCCTATGATATTTTTCTACTTATTCAAAAAAGGTACAACAAAAATTTACAAACGCCAAAAGCATTACCTTCAAAACATCTGTTCATTTGATTAAAGTACATAGAAAAGCAAATTCTTGACCAATTTCATATAAATAAATAATAAATATTAATTTTGTAATATATATAGGTATATATACAGGGTGACTGGTGAATTACTATCAATATTTTAGGAGAATACTCGGTACATGATTCTCATTCGAATTATGTAAAAAAAATAGGTACTTAATTTTTGACCAAATTTCCGTATAAATAAATAAAGTGTGGACACGTTCCAAGTGTTCCAAGTGTGGACGCGTGCGGTGGCGTGCTGATACAACACCACGCGAGTGTGTGTGTGTGTGTGTATACCTAATCTGTAGGGTGTTCACACGATGCGTAATTAATGACATAACTTTTGGTTAACTTTACTTAGAGGTTTATTAATATTTATGTTATACTAATTTTTATTTTGTCATATATGATCGTCAAATATCACGTCCTTAAGTATCGATAGTAATTCACCAGTCATCCTTTATATTAAGGCTTCATTAAACCACCATTTTTTCTTAATAATCAAATGTCACGCGTAGATGTTGCATCCACAAAGGTCAGCCAGTAAATACATTTTTTATTCAAAGAGTTTCTATATTCTTAGTACAAATATTCTTGTACAAGTTTTTCTCGTTCGTGTTAAAGAAATTTATATGAGAATCGTGTTATATTTTTAAACCTATATATATTAAAGATTCATTGCCGGAACTGGATTCAAATATTGTATTGTGTAACGCTGAGTAGACGCTGCGAGGGTTAGGCCCTGTTTGTTTTTAGATAGAAGCGAGTTGGACAATCAGTTGGACGATCAGTTGGTCGATCAGTTGGACGATCAGTTGGTCGACCAGTTGGACGATCAGTTGGTCGATCAGTTGGTCGATCAGTGGGTCAACCACTTGGACGATCAGTTGGTCGATCAGTTGGTCGACCAGTTGGACGATCAGTTGGTCGATCAGTTGGTCGACCAGTTGGACGATCAGTTGGTCGATCAGTTGGTCGATCAGTTGGTCGATCGGTTGGTCGACCAGTTGGACGATCAGTTGGTCGACCAGTTGGACGATTAGTTGGTCGACCAGTTGGACGATCAGTTGGTCGATCAGTTGGTCGACCGGTTGGACGATCAGTTGGTCGACCAGTTGGACGATCCGTTGGTCGACCAGTTGGACGATCAGTTGGACGATCAGTTGGTCGACCAGTTGGACGATCAGTTGGTCGACCAGTTGGACGATCAGTTGGTCGATCAGTTGGTCGACCAGTTGGTCGATCAGTTGGTCGATCAGTTGGTCGATCAGTTAGACGATCAGTTGCCCAGCCAGTTGCCCGACTAGTCTATATACGGATTTAGAGCTATTAAAATGAAAACATAATTTTTTGGTTACATATTGAAAGTAAAAATTTTGTATCCTAATAAATTGAATTTATTCTTATGACGATTAAAATATTTACTCATAAAATGATGATTTACCGACTTTAGTAAGAGCACTATAGCTTAATTGGAAACGCGACTGGGACGCAATATCCCGGAAAATGGCATATTATATAAATATTTTTCTTCTGCATAAAAAATATTTATACTTATTGGCTTATTTTTCATTTATTTATTAGAAGTACATATGTAATTATTACATTATGACAACTAATACTCTATAGTCATTGTTATAAATATCAAATATGTATAATATACTTTAGGTATATGTATTTGTTGTTGCTGTCATATGTTTAATATTTTATATTAATATTACAGGTTGGATGGCATAAAATAAATTATATACTTAATTACATATTTGAACTCTTAAAGAACATAAAAGGTAGTATGCATATTTTTAATTATCTAATATAAATTGAAATAAAAGATTAAAATTAAAATTTGCTTTTAAAATATTTTTCATACTTCTTAGTCCTTGTTGTCACAGTTTCGTGGCTAGAATCCTTATAATCCTAAATTATTATTTTGATATCTTGTTGAAATAATCAGCCACAAATACAATTTTCAAATTGTTGTAGTGTAAGTAAATAAATAATTATACTTCACTATTAATTTTAATCTGAATATTTTTTATTAAGACTGAAAAGTTTGTATCGTTTACGTCTTTTTAAATCTATTTACATGTTTTTACTTACAAAATATTGCTAGTAGAATATTAAACAGTCCATATCTTTAATAAAAACAAACAACAATAAAATAATTTCTTAGCTGCCCTATGTCTCCAATTTATTACACATGTCTATATTTTATGTATTTCACTTTTACTTATAATTAAAATATGTCTATTTGAATACGGAGCAACAGTTTAAAGACATACTTATTATTTATGTAACATTGCAGTTCTATGAAGTTACAATATATTTAGAGGTTTGCATGGAAAATTTATATTCAGAGAAACTTGGACTACCAAGGATTATGTTCATTGAAATTCAATTTTCTCGAAACGATAAAAACGAGTGAAGTAATATGATTATATCATTTAACTGAACACGTGTAAAACGTCAGTATGTCCTTTATTTACAACTAAATTACTCGGAATAAAATTATACGTTTCTGGGACTCTGGAAACAGAAATATATGTAAAATACCTCTTAATAGACTGACAGGTTTTATTGTTAGGGATGAAGTTGCTATTTAACGGACTATTGTTTTGGTATCAAGTGGTATTTTTAACTACTTAGATATCCAAAATTGAAATCAGTAAAACATTATATGTATCATACACACTTAAAAATATTTCGTAGATAATGTCAAATAGTAATTCAAAATTCCTATTTTAATTTCACATAATTATAAGCTTAGAAAAAAATCGGTGTTTATTTAAAAAAAAATTAATCACTACAATCGTCACATATGAAAGCTAATTAATTTCAATAAAAAAATAGATAAAAAGAAAGATATTTTAATAAAGCATATAATTATTATTCTCCTATATAGTTTAATAACAATACATTCAAAAAATAAATAGTCATATTTGAAGTCAAAATATTGGTATCATTTTGTAAGAATTATTAATATAATTCCAGAATTTCCAGCCACTAAAGATAAGTGACATTGACATGATTGTCTTATGTGTGTGACAGATGTAATTTTGTCACATTTAGTGGTGTGTCATTGTTAGTAAAGTTGTGAGATACCGATATATAATATAGTGTATGATACTCGTATAATATCATTTTAATATTAAAAAGTGTTTGTGAATCCTTACTCGAATATCTTGTCCTGATTTGATTCGGGTGGATCTAATTTCCTGGAGATATATTTATACATCCGTTGTATAATATATAAAATACACTTTCAAGTTTGTGCAGCTTAAATTGTGAGAAAATTGAAATACTCATAAACATACATTTATATCTATTTTTAGGACACGCGTTCAAAAATAAATTGTAATAACGACTTGTTTTTTATTCAATATAATTAAGAGTAGATTTCCAACTTTATTGAAGTTCTGTTTATTATTTAAACGATTAAAAGTAAAGAAACGTTAAGGAAAATTCAATGCCTATCACTACGCTACAAAACATCAGTTGTATGACGATATTCATTTTCTTACATAAGGATAAAAACTTTTTAGACAAGTGTATTTTATAATTTCAATATTAATATAAATAAAAACATACGCACGCATTTTCATACAACACCGATTTTATTAATTCCAGATTTAATTATACTAAGTATGCAGATTTTATTATAGAAAGTCTCTTATTTTAAAATAAGAACAATAATTTGAAGGTTCCTGGTCGTCATTGTTCTTTTCAGGGATTAAGTCACGTAGATGATTGAAAATTTGAGATCCGAATTCCACTTGACAATGTCTGCTATTACGTTTCTCTTATACTTTGTTTTTAAAGAAATTAAGAATACGGTATAAATCAAATGCTACAAAAACGGATTCTATAAAAAAAGTGTATACATACATACATACATTGAACGTTAATATTATATTTCAATTAACTAATTCAAAATATGAATACATAATATGTGTGTTAGCGTTAACAATGTATAAGGATGTAAGGTAGTATCCACCTATTCTTTTTCCTCTTCTTATGCCAGTTGTTAGTGCATACGTTTGTTTTGATTAAATTCTAAACAAGCAAATGACTTATCAGATGTAAAGTTATTAATACTGTCAAAAAAATTAACAGTTGAACATAATGATTATAAGAAATCCTTTCGTTAGTTCGCAGTTACTAATTATAAATATTTTATCAATAAACAACAATCTTGTGAACCGTGTATATAGATTATATAATGTTCTATTTACAACACTTTGAAGTGAAGCAGTCCTCTGAGAGAGGTAATTAAGTGGAAGATTGAAACGATCATTGAGCCGAGTCATCGCGACTATTTATAATGTGAGAAACAGGACAATAAAAAGCAAGCACTGTGACACCATTCGTTTTTACCAACATTTTTGAAGCTTATTGTTTCGCTGCTGGCACATAATAGATTTTTAGTAAACAAAAACTTTCGCGTAGTGCATGTTTTTGACTTTTTAATAAACCGTGTGATGAACAAGGTGGAACGGTAACGAACTTTTTCAAATCTTTTACATAAAACGTTGTAAACTGACGATAAAATTCATTAATTGTTATGTCACAAAAAGTGCTGCAGTAATATGAGTTTGGATAAATAAATTTACAGACAGTAAAAGTAAATCTGCATGATTTAAATAGATTTACATGAATCATAATTTTTAACATCCTTTCTTTGTTGAATCATTCAATATAATAGGAGAATTATTTACTTTAAATACGTATTCCTAGATATCCTCTTCTTAAATTATATTATAATTCAAAATTAGTTTTTTTGGTTATTTGTACAGCCCCATATTTAATTTTTTTTTCTTCTTTGTTCTTAAGGTTAGCTGACAAAGAATGCTTCTTAGCATTCACCCAATGTATAAAAACTGTAGATGTGTGCAAAGGAGTTAAATTTTTTTGAGTACTTTTAATTGTAAAGAAATACTTTACACATATGTACTTTCATCGCGGTATTTGAGAGTTATTAAGGAGTCTGCTATCAGAGTGTACTGGGATACTTCTGCGACTGTGTCTAAAATTTGTCCGACGGCCTTCCTCAACAGTTGATTGAAACCCGGTGAACTTTTATGATACCTCTAAATCCTGTCATAGAATTTCCCGAGTAACAGTAAAAATTTGCGCTGGAATGTTTTCTTTACCCAGGTTGCATTTTACAGCTATAACTTAAAAATTAATTCTAGACCCTCTTAGTGATATCGTCGCTCCGGTGTCTTTTTCTTACAACGTCAGCTGTCTGGGGAATGGATCATTTCGCTTTCTGATTCTTGTATTTATTTTTAGATATTTAATAACACCACTGCTCCCAATCCATTGTTAACGACAAAAAGATAATAATTAAATGTCGTATCCTATTTATTCGACCTTCTTTGCAAAGCAGTTTTTTAGTATCTGTTAAATGGAGTGGGGTAGAAGCTCGGTGATAAAAATGGACCTTTACTTCACCTACGATTCGATGTTAATACAGATCAAAACATCCATATCTTGGTGCTGTTATAATTAGTGATGCAGCACTTCTTTCTCCATAATGATTTTTGGAGTTGTCCTCTGGAAAGTTTTGGATTATGTTAATAATAAATTGTCGAACTTCTACTGAAAAGATAAAAGGCAATATATTGTCTATATAAGATTTATATATGTAAATAGATTCTTAAAACTGAACTGCAGCGATTAAATTCCATAATAACTTTTCAAATGATTTTTTAAATCTATTATTGCGTTTTAAATATAAAATAAAATAATTGTTACATGTGAATATAAAAATGTTTTAGCTTCTTAAGCTTTAAAAGGAGAATATAGTGCTTGTTTAAATAGTGTACAGTGTAAATAAAGTGCACTTCGTTTTAGAGCTTGATAAAGTGTATCAGACTAGAGAAGCTGCTTTCTTTTAAAGAAAACAATGGCCATGATCTATTAAACTTATTCAAATATCAAAGAAATAAATTCATTCTTATAATAATTAACTTCCAATTTAAAAGTGAAATTTAATATTTCATTTAGAACATTATGATCGTAAGAAATCTTAAACAGATTTTAAATGCTTCAACCTATTATATGTTTATCTCAGTTTTAGTTATTGAGTCAATACGTGACTCGTCTCATAAAACCAGATAACTTTGTTACAAAAGTTTATTTAATACAAAATAATATTTCGCTCGCATCATGTATAGTTACTTAAACTGTAAATCAGCTTGCAGGTAGGAAAACTGTTGTTATCATGTTTGCTTGAACTTTTTGATGCAGACTGTAGATATAAACAAAAGTAATAAATGAAATAAAACATTATTTATATTGTACG